AGACGTGTGCTCTTCCGATCTCCCCAAAACCCCAAAACCCCAAAACCCCATTCAGAAGTTATTTAGTTGTATCTCGATATCATGATAATAGGAAGAAAAATATATAATAGTTAAGTTACTATTAATATTCATAACTGACTACTTTACAAATTATCTCTCTACAATTATAAAATATCTTCAGAGCTCCCTTTAATTCGATTGCTATCTTATTAAAACCCACCTTTACCCTCGCTAACTTTGGAGCTTTATTAATCGATGCTGACCAGCATATTTATATTATTATTAGCAATGCTCATTTATTGGCTGTAGCCATTTTAGGTGGTACTATTGGTGTAGTTGCTGTTATTAAGATTTGTGTTGTTATTTGCATTGGAGTTCGTCATCAAAGCTCCAAAGGTATAAGAATGATTATTAACAGCTGAGAACATGGCAGAATTAGATCCATTACTCCTGTATATATCATTACTATTCTTAGCCCCGTTTATCAGGTTAGGCAAACTTACTCTAGCATTTCTATCTATGTTTTTAGGGGAAAACTCATTCTAGTAAAATTTGTTGGCTTTTAATTGATCTAGTTAATGTTAAATCTAAGCATTGGTGTGAGAACCATTCAGGTTACTTGATTTCAAAAGCGCATGTGAAATATTAGAGTTGCATTAGTTAGAGTTTATATTTTATTAATGTTGATTTTGATGTGCCATTTAACCAGGTGTCATATTGGCTTAGTTCGTAGTAAATGCAGTATTTACATTGTTCTGATTATTTGTATTAAAGGCATTCGTATTCTAGCTACTGTTAAGATTAGACTTGATAGAATCTGAACTGTTGTTGCCTTGGTTATTGAAAAAGTGAGTAAGAGCTGTGAGAGTAGAGCTAGTGTTAAGAATGCTTGAGCTTTGAGAAGCATGTGGACCCTAATGATTATGCGGGTTTTAAACAGTGCTTGCATGTGTATTAGTTGGCTGCTAATTAAACATCTTGAAACTGTTTAACTTATCGATTATCTTCCTACGATGAGATCCTATTACTCCATGCTAATATATTTAAGATTGAGGCTTCTTGGTAGTCTGAGTATTAGAACTTTAATATTGCTTTGAGTTTGGTGCTGGATCCTCTAATGCACGCTATATAACTGGATTCGACATTTTAGGAGCTGGCGATATTGAACTGTTATTAAAAGCATTCTAAACCATTTAAGCTGCAGCTGTATTGTAAGTCAAATCTAAGTTACTAATTGATGTCAATTAATTTGTCAAATTATTGCTGTTATTATTTGATAAGTTATTATTTCCAGCATTTTCATGTTGCAGTGGCTATTACAATGATTGCTAAAGCGAATTTTAATGCTTTATTTGATTATTCTTGTACATTTAAGAATAACTATTAGAGTCTTATTTGAATTGCATGAACATCACTTGCTAATTTTGAATTGATAAGGGATTTTAGAATCCATATAAAGGGATCTATCCATAGGAAACATCATTAATGCTCTGAGATAAGTTTATATTGTTTTATTAGTTGGACACTGTTGTGATTGGTCTTTTCTATGAAGTGTTTCCTCCAATTTTTACTGAAGCTTGAGTTTTGACGATATTTGGGAAAATATCATTTTAATACTGCGACATTTACAACTACAATGATTACTAATCATGATTTTGGAACATCATTAAGTTTCCATTTATTGGTCTCTATTAACTTTAAGAGGAGTTTACTGTTTTTACTACTTTTTACCCAGTGTTAGATACTCTATTGGGAAGATTGTTGTGGACTAACTTACCAGTCTTCTTGAAAGGAGTCTGAGAGTGATGTATGCTATTCTTGAGGTTATTTATCTATATTTTGTTCGTATAGTCTTGCGAGTGCTTACTCTTACCCATACTTACAAATTAGTCTATAAGTATAGCATCAACTGACGATGGCGGCTCAAGAACATTAGGCTTAGGCACCTATTGTTTATGAGTTTGAGGAATTTGACTATGTTAATTACTGTTCTGTATTCGATGAGTTCTCTTCTTTATAGTTGTATTAGATTGCTATAAGAAGTTTGTTGAATTTTGAGTTTGGTGATTTGGTATGATTGAGTTCGTTTGTATTGTTGAGGGATTGCAATTAGATTAAGCATTATTATTATTTTAGCTTTGTTGATCTTTTTAAGTAACCTATTTCTAGTTCAGATTAGACTCCTTTAGCACATGAGGCATTGGGACATTGACTTAGAGGTTTTAAAGCTAGTTATTTTGATTTGTGTTGTCAGTGCCATTTTTGCTCAGATCAATAACAAATTTCTTCTTCAATATTTTACTCTATAGTATCTATGTGAGAGTATGACAAAGATCATTACCAACTAGAACTAAGTCTTCAGCTTTAATTTGAAATTCCTCATCTACATTTGATTTCTTTTTGAACTACTTATTTAGGGGCGCATAAAATGTAGATTCAAGTGTATAAGAATTCAGTACTTAAAACTCTTTAAATAGGACTAATCTAGCTGTTGACTCTTTTTCCTTTTCATTTGCAAACTTGCAATCAGGGAAGGAGAATATTTTGCTCTTTTGACTAAATAGATAGGGTATCAGTCTGATGAGATTATTATTTCTGTGTTGATTCATATCAGTCTAGCCACTCACACATCCATACATAAATACATTTCTCTTTCGACTGTGTCCGTGCATATCACAAAACATAAGTATTTGGTGATCAGCATTGCAAGACTTTGCAAGTAGTTTCGCATAGTATATAGTAGGATGCAGAAGTTTAGAGGGATTAGTCCACCGACGATTGAGATCAACACCTAATATATTGCATCTATAGTTGCCTTAAATTACTCCATCTGGATTCAGCATTGGTATTATTTTGAATATGAATAGCTCTCTCAAAGTCTAAGCGTCTTTGTTACTTTGCTGCAGCAAAAAATCAATGACTCCTTAGGCCATAAATGATGAATTGCTTTCACCTGGATGTACTCTTGAAGTTAAGTACACCACTTACTTGTGCATATTAGACTCATAGACATTCTCAGAAATCGAGAGAACAAAGCATGTGTTTGATGAAATAGTATCGCATAGCTTCTGAATTCTCAGATTATTCTTGATAAAATCTGGTGAGCCTTTTTTCTTGATAATGTGCAGGTAGTCTTTCAGATCTCCGAATGTATAAGGCTGGAAATGCGAGAAGAAGACGATATCGTGATCATATTCAAAAGTGTACTGGAAAGATAGTGTATTCAAGCAAGTAGTCTGAGATTCATCGTCATCATACACATAGCATGGTATATTATCTTCATCATACTCATAATCTGGCTATAATACTTGAAACGATTAATATAATTTTTACTGCTGACTCTCTATGCTTGGTTTTTAGCTGATTCTTGCTATAAGAAATACTGAAGCATCCTCAACTCCATTGATTTGTCCCGTTTTCTTGATTTTTCCTTTATGAATATACAAATGGCTTCATTCCATTGCTGTATGAGGATTCATCCTTTTGTAAGTTCATTATGTTGAACTTGTAAGTGTAACCTAGAGCAGAATTAATAATTTAAATTTGGAAAATTAATTATTATTCAGTTGAATTCTAATTATTTCAAACTTACCTTTCTTAATATTTCTGACTGAAAAATAATACCATTAAGTATAATTAAGAGTATTGAAATCGAAGTTCAAGTAAAGATTGTACTCAAGATCTGTCACTCTCTCAACCTCCCTCAGATTCCCAGACTCGAATTTGGAGTTGAAAAAGATAGTAGACTCTTTGATTGAGCGGTACATGAGTGGAATGGTATTCTCCTTTTCCTTTTTCGCCTTTTACAATTCTTACAGGATTCCTTGGTGTAACCTCTTTTCTACAGAACCAATTATCACTAATGTAAAATTCTTACCAGCTTCAGAGCAAGTGCTGTGATCCATCTGGTGATACTTGTACAGCGCTTCTGGCTCTTCGTCAACTTCCAACTCGCGTCCAGTGTTTGGGAATAGCTTGACTCCTTTGGTTGAGTAAAAATCCATGAGTGTATCAATAGTGATAAGATTTTAGTGAAAGGCACAATCTGGGTCTAATCTGATTTCTCTGTTCTAGTGATATACCAGATTTATGGCCTTTGCGTAGCTTGGCTAGTGGATGTATTTTCTGTTGAAATTATAAGATTATCTCACATTAATCGTTGATAAGGTACTGCTGTTTTAATTAATTGGAGTGCTTGATGATCTAGATTATACGAAGTTATTATTTTGAGTGGATGAAGTACTATACTACTCTGAGTTAAGATTGCTAAGGATAGGTTTCTACTAGATGTTAATACTATTTTTAGCAATAAGCACATTTCTGTTGTGCTGCATGCTGATGCTGTTTTGCTGTCCATCTGAGTAAAACGAAAATGAGGGATTCGTAAATGCTTAATGATGAATATTGTTACTAGTTTCAATTTTGCTATGATGATAATCGAATGGACCTACACCAGTACCTGCATTGCTCTGTCTCTGCTTGAAGTATTTCTGAGATTCATCCTTGAAGTGCACAAAGCACGAGTAATCAGTGTTTCTTTCCTTTTTGGCTGAGTCCAGTTCAGCATTGAAGACGCTGTTGGTGTTGTTTATTTTATCAAAATTTGAGCTGGATAATCGCTGGGTTGTTGAATTATTTCTGAGTTCGGGCAGCAAATCGAAGTTGCCCAGGATGTTGTCGTCCTTGTGTCACTCGTTCTCAAGCGTGTGCAGGTCCTTCAAGATCTTGGTCGCCCCAAAGATGTCGTTATCATTCAAAGAACTTAGCTAGCCCACAACGTGACTCTATTAATTTAAAGCCTGTTATTATTGTTGATACAGCATTTTCATTTTATTTATTTTTATAGGCAGCTAATTTTTATTTATAAGTTTAACCTCCTTAATTTCCCTTTTTCCTGGGTGTAGGGGTTTTGGGGTTTTGGGGTTTTGGGG